TGTGTGTCGGGGAATGTCCCAGGAGGAGCGGTGGGGAGGAGGTGTTGGGGGGACACCCTGGGAGAACGGGGGTGTCAGGGAACGTCCCGGGAGGAGCGGTGGGGAGGGGGTGTTGGGGGGGACACCCTGGGAGAACGGGGGTGTCGGGGAACGTCCCAGGAGGAGCGGTGGGAAGGGGGTGTTGGGGGGACACCCTGGGAGAACGGGGGTGTCAGGGAATGTCCCAGGAGGAGCGGTGGGGAGGGGGTGTTGGAGGGACACCCTGGGAGAACGGGGGTGTCGGGGAACGTCCCGGGAGGAGCAGCAGGAAGGAGGGGTCAGGTGGAAGCACCCCACGGGAGCGGCAGGCGGGGGCACGCACCGGGCCAGGCCGTCGAGCTGCAGGGGGGGCGCCCTGCCGAAGCACAGGCGCAGGGGCTGCTTGGGCTGCAGGCGGCTGACCAAGCCGTCGCTGGCGGGCAGCCAGTCCAGCGTGGGCACGAGCAGTTGGCTGGGCAGCAGGCAGCACTCGTCCACCAGCGCCTCGTCCGGCTCGCTGGTGGGGCCGTCGTCGCGGCCTGCGGAGGGTCGTGCTGCTCAGCCGCTCGCGGCCCAGGAGCGCCAGGCCGCCGCTCTCCCCTGCCCAGCTGGGAATCCGGAGTGACCTCCCCCTCCCTGGCCTCATAGACCTGCCGCGCACAAGCCCCGCTCGCTCATGTCGGCCCCTTCAGCGAGCGCCGGGCGGCAGGGCAAGGATGCCAAGCCGGCCAGAACGCAGATACTGCCCAGACCTGGGGTGGGACCGAGCGGGGCTGCTGTGGGGAGGCGGGGCGGCTCACAGCAGATCCAGAGCTTGGTGAGCAGGCGGAAGAGCAGCGACATGCTGTCCTGGGTGTCCGAGGTGGCCGCGTACACGGGCAAGCAGCTGGGCTTCAGCAGGCCCCAGATGCGGGTGACGACCATGAGCTCCCGCAGCATGCCCAGGGAGGCGCCGTCCCGCAGGAAGCTGTGGCCGGGTCGCAGCGGGGCGCCCTGCCGGGGAGAGGGGGTTAGAAAGCAGCGCAGGTGGCTGTGGGCTCCAGGTGGCCAGGGGCTTGGGGCTCTTTGGTGTGCAGCGCCTATCCAGAGGGCAGGGCCAGGGACGCTGCCCAGGGCTCAGGACTCCCCTGCATGCTGTCCTGAGGGCGGGGCCGGGCCATGAGGAGGGCGGGGCTCCGCAGAGGGCGGGGCGGGGCTCTGGGATAGGAGGGCGGGGCTTCGCGGAGGGAGGAAGGGGCGGGGCTCTGCGGCAGGCGCACACCTGGTTGGGCAGGCTGGCCAGTAGGTAGAGCACGAAGTCGCCCACCCACTGCAGGAGCTGCTGCAGGGCCTGCAGCGTGTTCATGTCCAGGACGAACTCCTCTGTTTTGAGGTTGATCATGACCTTGTCGATGTCTGCACGGAGTCCAGGTCGGGGGCAGGTCAGGGGTTACATGGACACAGGCACAGACCCGGCTGTGTGGTCCTCCAGCCCATACTCCATGGAGTGTCCACCCAGGAGCCGCGGGCAGTCGGTGCCTCTGGGCCACCTGAAGTGTCCACCGCTGCCCACCCCAGGCCCACTGTGCCAGGCACCTGTCCCCTCAGCCTCTGCTGTCCCCAGACCCAGACCTCTGCAAACGCCTGCCCTGGGGCAGCGGTGGGCAGTGCCCACCTCGTTCAGCTGTAACCACCACCCACGCCCGGCCCAAGGAACAGAACTCAGGACGGTCCTCGCAGCTACTTAGAGACAGCTATCAGGAACCGGCTGTGGGTGCGGAGGACGGGGTTCTGCAGAACCACCACGCTGTGGGCAGCCGTGCCCGAGGCCCCGCCAGGAAGGACCGGCAAGTTCCTCAGCAGCAGCGTCCCATCGGTGTCATGGAAGGCCCAGTGTCTGGGTAGATGTGTGCATGGGGGTGGGAGTGGGTGCGCACGTACACAGGAGAGACAGGCACGGGGCTGGGTGTGTGCGGCCAGCTGGCCTGGCCGGCCTCTAGGGGTGAGAGGGCCCCAGGGGACCAGCTGCCTGGCAACTCTGTCCGCACAGCCACCCACATCTGCTCAGTGGCCTTTGCCACCCCTGCAGTGGCTTCCAGGTCATGGCTTCCTACCCAGGGCATGCCCGTGCCTGAAACCTACGTGAAGCCCCACGTTGGGAGGGAGAAGCCGGCGGCGGCTCTCCTTGGTGTGGTGTGAGCCCCGCCCCTACCCGAGCCGGGCTGCGCTCGCGGCCCTGTGCACCCACCGACGTCAGTGACCTTGGCACAGATCTCGGTGAGCCGGTCGCCGGGGCTCTTGTCAGGCGTGTTGAGAAAGTGTGGTCGCAGCAGGGACTTGAGGGTGGAGCTGACGGCGGTGAGGAAGAGCTTGGTGTGGTAGTCGCACACGCGTACCACGGTGCAGGGCGACAGCTTGCACAGCGAGGCCTTCATGGCCAGGATCCGGGTGGACAGGACCTATGGGCGGGCGGTGGGCACATGGGCCATCCCTGCAGGGACGGGGCTGCAGCCCCGACGGGCACTCGCCAACACCCAGGGCTGGTGGAGTCCGCGATCCGGCCTCGACGTCCCTGGGCACGCAGGGGGAAGCTGCCGGACCGCTCCATGCCACCCGTCCTCACGGCAAGAGGGGACAAAGAGGGGGCCTGCCTCGTGGGACCCGGGTGGGGGTCTCAACACTCAAGTCTAGCCGTCACAACAGGGCGACCCCAACACCCTCAGGCAGAACCCGAGTGCTGCTCGACTGGCAGGCACACCCGAGGACGGACAACCTCCAAGGGGGGATGGGGGGGGGGGC